ATACTCATACAACAAAAAAGTCTATAAACCGGCAGTTGACGTAAAACTACCATCACTCCACTGTATGCCATATTCAACCACTTCCACAATACTCATCTTTCCTTTTCTCTGACTATGCCTGTCTGTTTCTTTTACATCTGTGAATCATTATTTTGTCCCCCCTCTCGACTTTCTGTCACTTTGATGTTCCTCCTCCTCTCTTTGAAGCCTGAAGTCAACTAAAGGGCTAATGATAACTATCAAAACGCCTGTCATTTGAAATAAATAAATTTCCGTTATTTATTTACTACCACTGCTGGTGAAATATAAGCAAGGTAATTTTGTTTTGTGTTTCATCAACCTCACCTTCGCTGTGATACGACTCTAAGCTGCGGCACAATGTGCTAGATAATTTATCTTCACAACCATTGAATGGAAAAGGCAGGGTGAAACGACAAGAGCGAAACCTTTGTTCTCTGTGACTGTGCGATCCCTAAAAATTTATCACTGTGTCAACCGATGTCAGTTACTTCCCACAATTATGATTTGTGAAATTTGATATAGCAATTTGGATTCCATGACATTAATATGGAGTTTAATAAAGCCAGATCCCTGTAGGAAGAAACTAAACCTTTAACTCAATTCAAGCTTTTTTCGTATAAGAGAATACATTTTCTTTGATATAGTTAGAGTCATTAAAAGAAGAGTACATTGTGCGTGTATAACACTGTTATATAGCGGAGAAGGTAATAATAAGCTTACGTTGCAATCTTGTGAAGAACGAAGTAGTGTTTGTCGATATTTGACCATCTTGGAGTTATCGTTCTGGGAGACATTTTTTCTAGTAAAAAGAACCACATCAGGTTTTCAGTGGAAGCAAATATATGATATAGACAGTGAATTACAGTAAGCATTCTATAAGTGAATCACATGGAACAAATTGATGATGGAAATGGGGATCTCACCTTCAATTCGAACAATACAGCTTGTCTGAGCCCTTCCAGCTGGATTCTCTGCAATCATTGTGTAAAGACCAGCATCTTGAAACACGCATCGTTCTACACGCAGAGAGGCATCAACAGTCAATTCACCGAGTTCCATTTCATCTTCATCAGCTGACCAATCAGATTGTCCCGAAGCGCCAGTTTCTCCACCGATCCACGTACGGTAAGATGAAGTGAGGCGCTTGGAGTCACGGGTCCAGGTTATTTTGGCCGGTGGAACAGCATCCACACAGCAAGGCAGGAGTAGAGTGTAATGGACTGGCAGTGTTATAATCGGCATTGGAACTTCTGTAATCACTGGGGCATCTGGAGTTTAAAATGACATATCAATCAATACTATGAAAGTTAAGAGTTTTGTTTAAGCATCCACTTCAAAGGGAATTCACCAGAATTTGGTAACTCCATAAAAGACATAAAGGACTATTAGAAGTATTATGGCATGAGCCAACCATTAAAGTTTAGCAGTCAACATATAATTCATGTAATGGATAAGTAGGAATACATAGTTATTTTAAACAAAGTAGAGTGCTAAATTAACAATAAAATGAAGGTATTTAGAGATAAAACCAAATTATCGTCCACCCACGAGAAATAATTGTTTCCCCTCATATCATGTGCAGTTATATTGCTCTTTAGGAAATCAGTAGAGTGAATTAATGAGTTCATAAAAATAGAGAAAAACAATATTTTTATAATATGAGCAATCATCTAGTTACTCAATATCGATGTTTTCAGTGAATAAATAAATTGCAACTCACAAAAATTTCAACTGACTTACCGGCTCTAACCACGCGGAATTCCTTGTCAACTGATCCGTAGGCATTGACAGCCTTGCAAGTGTATGTACCAAAATCGCGTTCATCAAGATCAAAGAGACGTAATTGTGCGGATTTTCCTCCACCGGTGACATGTTGGAAGTATCCTGACGGGAACTGCTCGTGTTCTGGAAGAAAAAGGGCTTGGTAATCAACCACCCATAATAAAGCTTTCTTTGAGTTAGGAAGTTAGACTGGAGTTTTACATGCCAGAAACTCCCATTCCACTACCCTAGTTGATTACAAATAGTCAGGGCATTTGACCACCTATACTACTGAATGTGCATCGATCGATCCACCAGTGATGTGCCCAATGTAACCTTTGACTTGACTCACACCTTTACCACTGTAATACTGACACCATATAACTAAGCACTTTAATTTCGCTATTGGTTTGACGTGCTGAACTTGAAACCTGTGATGAATTGTATTTTGTCAATTGAAGTATCCAGACAGATCTAAAATTTGCGTAGAAATGCGAATAAACGATTTTTACTCGACACGAGTAGTCAGGTCTCTTGTCTCTGATGTTAGCTCCGCAGATTTGCAGATTTACTTTATTGACGAGGACCTCTCTGGTGCACATTTTGTGCACCACAGTAAATTTTAGTATCACCGTTAGTACACAATTTAGCCTAGAGGACCTGAATCATTGCTAGAATCTGGCATTCTAATTTCACGCTAGTACTTTCAATCTTCAGCTCACTACAAATACAAGCAAACCTACTGGGAAGGTTGGGAATTTCCTGGGAATTGAAAGACCAAATAAACTGCACTGGGTTCTTCAAATTGTATGAGGATAGAGTGCATCGCAGATCCAAATCGCCACCGGTAGGAACATAGATCAATTCTGTTGAAGGGTTCTCAAACTGTGGGGGAACTAAAAAGTCGAATTCCAAAAGTTAAATAATCTTTGTTCGAAAGTACTACTACAATAGTATCATACATTAAAAGGGAACAAAAAAGGAGAATATTTTACTGTAAACGGAACCAAGACTTTCCTTCCATTAGATATGTTCGTCTATTATGTGAAAGTATGAAAAGAATATTTTGAGATATTCGAATTTATGCTGTATTCTCTCTGATAACTTTAAATTTATCTGATTATCGATTGGTTAGTTTTAAAACTACAGCCTTTTTCTTTCCTACCGACGAATCATGACGCCTGCCCAACTATTCTACTGTTGTACTATTAAGCTTTTGTCATTATCAACACTAATTTTAATCATGTCTCCTTTCTATTTTATTTTGGTAAAATTATGGAGAGCTTTAAAGGGTTAGCAAGCTAATAAGCTTTCTCTAACCTACACTGATAACTCCAGAGCTGAAATTTATCTCCAGCTTTTCGACTTTCTTAAAGGCAATGCATATCAGCTTCATTTCAGCGACCAGGACAAAACCTCTATTGTGGACTAACCTTTACGACTAATCTCAAAAAATGCGACGGCCAAAGTTAGTATTTAATCACTAGTCTAGACTCATTGACATCCCTCATTGGAAAGATCTGAACTTTTGACCGTTTAGGTTGAGTCTGGATTTACGAATAAAATTAAATGTAAACATTTATATCAAATGGTAGGCGTCTTGATGGTTATCATTAGCCCTTTAGTTGACTTCAGACTTCACAGAGGGGAAGGAACATCAAATTGAAAAAAGTCGAGAGGGGGGAAGAGAAGAGTGTTTCAAAGATGTAAGAGACAAACACAAAGGTAGAAAAAAGGTGAGGTGAGTACTGTGAAAGTGGGGTGATGGTAGTCTGAAGTCGGAAGTAAACTGCCAGTTAATAGACTTTTTTGCCGTATGAATATACGTTGCCCAGGGTGCACCACGTGGAGGTAAGTCTAAATATACATTGCCCAGGGTGCACCACGGAGGTAAGTCTATTGCACACCCCATGATACCTATCATAACGCCTGCCATTTGAAAGTACGTTGTCCAGGGTGCACCACGTGGAGGTAAGTCTATCGTATTCTTAAGAATAATTGTTTAGAAAACCAGCAAGGGTTGAAAGTTGCCCAGGGTGCACCACGTGGAGGTAAGTCTATCGCACGCTGTCCAGGGTGCACCACGTGGAGGTAAGTCTATCGCACACACCCCTCCGCTTCCAAATAAGATGTTGATAGTGAAGGCATATTTCCAGGGTGCACCACGTGGAGGTAAGTCTATCGCACACCCACTTGGCTCTCCCCTCAAATTTCAACCCTACACGGATGGGCTTACTTGGAAATATAGAAAAATACATATGGTTACAAATTTTCGGGGTGGTGCACCCTGGGCAACGTATACTCATACGACAAAAAAGTCTATGAACCGGCAGTTGACTTCTGCTTCTAACTACCATGACCGACAGTTTGTCATATCCGTCCCCTTCCACAGTGTTCATCTTACCTTTTCTCTACCTTTGTGTCTGTCTGACTCTTTCACATCTATTAATCACTATTTTGTCTCTCCTCTCGACTTTTTGTCACTTTGATATTCCTCCTTCCCTCTGTAGAGCCCGAAGTCAGCTAAATAGCTAATGATAACTATCAAAACGCCTGTCATTTGAAATAAATAAATGCTTCGAAATAAGCGTGTTAAATTTACTGGAGAAGGACAGCGCCTTAGTCAATTAGAAATGGCATTTGGAAGAGCATTTTGTCTAACAATTCGGCTGCATATGAGCAGACATGAAAGGATGACATTTTTCTTCTTTGACAAGGGGAGATAGCTTGTTCTGTTAAAGATAAATATGCCTTAGAAAATAAATCACCCTTCAATTCAAACAGGCGCTATTTCAAATATTTATAAAATGTCGAAAAAACAGGATAATTTTTGGGGTGTATGGTTAAATATATTTGACGGATGCCTTAGTCATGTGAGTGAAGAAATATGGAAAACGCACAACAGATGGCCAAATCTACGTTCACAACAAAACAGAACTTGAGGACAAGTTGAAGGTATGATATCAAGACGAAACGATGGAGTCCGCCAAAACAAAATAACTAGAAATCTACATGGGTTTATAGAGGGACTAGACAGAAAAAGCAACTTTATATGAAATGGGGGAAACACGGAACTTACTGGAGTCATAGGAGCTGTTCGAACTGCCGTAATTACTCAAGGACCGACTTGCACCTGGTTCACATACAAAACAAATTGTATAGTGTAGCAGAAAATTTAAACACTGTTGAATCAGTTTCAAACTTACGTCCTGCTCTAGACCTTCTCTTTCGTGTTTGTTGGCTAGGTTCACCTCTTCCAAAGTTTGTTACAGCAACCACACGAAGAGCATACTCCTGTGTTGGATCTAAACCTTCCAATGTACACTTCGGTTGTTTCAAACCCTCCTTGAACACCTTCCAATCGTCGGATGAGCTTCCCCCACCAATATGTCGGACTTGGACCTCATAAGTGAAGGGAGTCAACGTCTGAGTAAGACTGTACACTCGAGGTGTTTGCCATTTAAGTTCTGGTGGTTCACGGCCTTCAAGAATTCCTGTAGGCTCCCGAACAATTGGAACGACAAAGGAGAGATCAGGAATCACTAAAATTACCAAAGTTCCAACAGTGCTGTCACACAGAATAAACCCTAATGTTATGAAGAGAGGTAGATAACCTACCAACTTGGGCGTCAACATGAGTAGTTCGAGAGGGCAATCCAGCACCGAACTGATTTCGACCGACAATTCGGAAGGAGTATGGAATCAGCGGATTGACTTCTCCCCAGGCGAAGGATGGGCTGGATAGACCAGTAGCAATCTTTTTCCATTCTTTGCTATTTCCAATCATGGCTTCTACATCGAATGTCAGTCCTTCCTCCAAACTTTGTGGAAATGTGGAAGCGAGAATGTGGTTGCTGAAAAAGGCTTCCAGCTTTTCCTCTGGATATGAAATGAGGTATTCATCCACCTTGTTCACATCAACATGCACTTTTTGGTAGGATAGATCAGGAGCCAGTTCGGCTAAAATAGATCAGTATCTACATGTCAAACTGGAAAACGTCTTTTACGGACTTAAAATTTATGAAAAAGTTATCTGACTGTGCCTCTAAAGCGATAATATATTTTCTAAATTTACTTACTTCTTCTCCCAATTATAAACCACCAAGCCCAATATTTTTAAAGTCGAAACTATGTTCCAAGATTGATTCATGACTAACATTGACTTTTGATTGTTATATTCTATAACTGAAATCAATTATTAATAAAATCAGATCGGAACGAATTCTTAGTTTAAAGAGTTAACGCCATGACTCAATTTACAGTTACAAAACGATTCTAAAGAAAGAAGATTATATAAGTAGAACCCTCCAAACGTACCAGACTTAATATTAATTCTCACGGGTCTACTGGGAGCACAGGGCTGTCCGTTTAGCAGGGCAATGACTCGATATTCATTACCATACATCTCTTTGGGGCAATTCTTCAGGGTAACTTTTCCCGTCAATTCATCTTGAATACTATCTACAGTTGCCACTGGATACCAATCAGAGGAGAATCCATCACGACGCTCGACACAATAGCGAACTGCGCCTCGCCAATCCGTATCCTCATATCCACTATCACCCATACGTGACGGTGAATCAGAAGTTGAGGGCACTCGGCTGCACGTTGATTCCAGCGCATCGATTGCCTCATCTCCCAGTCGCCAACGAAGGAATACAGACTGCGGAGCGATAATTAGCGCCTTAAGATCCTCTACACATCTAGAGAGGACAAGTGTTAAAGATAGGGTGGTCAGAGTAGAGGAGTAGTTACTAAATTATGTATAGTTTCTAGCACAGTCCAATGCCAGCAAGACCCATAGTTTACGAATAAATAATCGATTTTCAGTGCGAAACAGCGACATGAATAATAAAACAGTGACTTAACTAACTGGCTTATATAAAATTCAATCTTAACGGACTTTTTAAATAGTGACAAGGCTATGAGGAAAAGTAAGCTAAACGATATTCGCTGAACTTTTGGTGACTAATGTTAGCAAAAAAGTTTAAACAGGTAAAGATCACAATGGTATCAAGGCTAAACAATGGAATCACACTTTGGTCTGAACATTCTGGAAAGTGTTATTTTTGAGGACAGAAACCTCTCAGCCAATCAGCAACTGATTTTATGCAACGTAGCACAACATGGGCTGTATCTAATAGCTAACCAGGTTAGAAATCCCACAACTTTTTGAATAAAGGGTGTGCGATAGACTTACCTCCACGTGGTACACCCTGGGCAACGTATTCTCATACGGCAAAAAGTCTATAAACTGGCAGTTGACTTCTGATTTTAATCTAAAATGACCCCACTGTATGGTATATTCGACCCATTCCGCAGTACTCATCTTACCTTTTCTCTGACTTGCGTCTGTCTGTCTCTTTTACATCTGTAAATCAATCTTCTGTTCCTCCCTCTCCACTTTTTGTGACTTGAATGTTCCTCTCCTCTGTGAAGCCCGAAGTCAGCTAAAGGGCTAATGATAAGTATCATAAAGCCCGCAAATTGAAATAAATAAATAAATTCTGGAATAAACACTTTCCGCTGCAATAAACTTAGCCAAGTTAACTTAAAAAGCAAATTTATGCAACTTGCATTTTTTGCAGTTCTTTAGAATTTTTAGTATAATACATGGGTGCAACAAAAATTCGTATTTGTGCTTTATTTGTTCAAAATTCTAACCCCGAATTCCTCAATCTGTATAACCTCAGAATAGATTCATTCAAATTGTTAGATCAATAAAGTATAAGTAATAAAGCTATTTGGGTTAATGGCAACCAAGTTAAAAGTAAATCGAGAAATTATTTTATTTTAGAATCTGCAGAACTTTAGACGCCCCAGTGTAGGAAATCGAGATTTGAAAAATCATTGATTTCCAGCACATCTATTGCTATTTAAAATACGAACAAAGCATAGATAAAATGAAAGGGAAGAAAACATGTGTCAAAAAATTTATACAATAAAACGATTTTTATATCTTTCCTATGTTTACTTCCCAAAGCAGCCTCAATCATTCTTATTACCCTAAAATACAGCAATTTTTCAATTTCCACTTTTTTAAGCAATAAATAACTTATTATGACGCTTACTCCTGCAGGTCCGTGAGCTTTTTCGGGATTTGAATAGCAGGAGCTTCTACTGCGGGCCCTTCGCCATATCGGTTTATCGGAATGACTCGATACCTTAAAGTTGAGCCACTTAGCGGAGTTTTGTGCTCAAAGAAGGTTTTCGAGGAGCCTAAAACACTTCCAATCTCTCGCCATACTCCGTGACCTTCTTGTGCCTCAATCCGGTAGGTTGTTTCCATTGGTTGGAAGTACAATCCCCTTTCCAGTTGTTCCGAAAGAATTTGCTCTCCTTCTGTTTGTCCACAGGGACTCCAGTCTAAGCGAACAGAGTAATTTCCTCCCTTATTCTTGGGCTGATGAACTCGAGCTCGTAGACTTTCCACAGCTGATGGAAGCAATTGACGTTTGGAAGGAATTCTGACTTGTCTATAACCATTCAACCACCCAGAAATCATTCCGTCATTAGTAAGCCCAAGCAGACGAATGTACTGCTCAGAGGTGGAACTTAGTGAAAGATCTAGACAATATGAATCGCCGAGAATAGGTTGTGATCCAGGACCAATAGGTTTCCACCATCCTTCAGGATCCGTTATCCTACTATTCGGGATGATTGCATATTCCATTCGGTACTTTCCATGAGGACTACCATCTGAAGTATGAAGGGATTCTTCCCATTTGAGACTTATTCCATTCTCTATATCCATAGATGTCAACCAGATTGGACGTTTTTCGGAACCTTGGGGAAGGGAAATAATTGGGAGTGTGAAAAGAGATTCCTCTTGACGTAAGGGTTTAGCAGAATCCAAATCATTTTGTTTTGGCAGACCGAAATCTGTTAAGCGCAAAGATTTTGTGGCAAGAGTTGAGCCATAGTCATTTCTACACACCACTCGAATTTCCGGTGTCTGTGAACTGTAGTTTGATGCGTCTTGAACAGCTCTGTATACGTAGCTGGGTAGTTTATACGAGGTCGTGTCAGAGATACAATCATCAATTACACTCCATGGACCAGTTCTACCTTTTCTCCACTCCACAGTGTAGATTGGTCTCAATCCTCGAACACAGGCGTCACAATATTCGGGAAGGTAAGCTTCTTTCCAATGAAGCATGAGTCCAGCATGAGCACTCTTTTCAGAGAAATTGATATCCGGTCGAATGACCGAAACCCATGGTGGATCTACGGCAAGATCTGGGATTAGATGTTCAACTGGAAGGTTCGCTATCGCCGTTGCACTCGGTTCTGATGTTCCGAACCCGTTATAAGCCCGAATTCGCACCATTGTCGAGACACCAGGTTTAAGATGGTGAACGTAGGCCTTATCCTTTAAGCCCGAAGCAATAGGCTTCCAATCACTCCTAGTGCCTTCTCTAACTTCAACAATGTAGGAGATGTTACCATCGCGTGAACCAGGCGGATCAGTCCAAGTAATCATAACCGATCCAAGATCTGCCTTAGCGATCATGGGTTTAACAGTAGCCATATTTGGTACGCTTACACGAGCTGGAATTTTCAGCACAGGTTGAGATGGCGGTCCAGTTCCAAGAGCATTCTCGGCAAGAACTCGAAGTTGAATTGGCTGAAGTGGTGATGCGATTGTATGTGGAAGAACAGCTCGATTTGTTTGAAGGTTCGTTAGTACTGGGCTCCAGAAATATCCATTGTCCTTCGACATCTCCACCGTGTAGCTTAAGTCACTGCCATCCTCAGAAATGACTGGACTCCAACAAATTGTAAGATCAGTTGGAGTAGACGATTCAAGCATCAGACCATCTGGAGCTATTCTTGGAACACCATGCCTCAAGGGTCGGTATTTGCCTACGTCTGTTTCAAATTCTTCATATGGCTCTACCACACCTAAAATAGGAACAGAATATTTACGAAAACACAGGTTGGGATGCTCAAGCAAACTGCCCGATTAGAGTAAAATCTTACCATCTACTGTGACGTTGGCAGTTGTTTGTGATTTGCCCAGTTCGTTGACGGCACTGCAAATATACACACCACGATCTTTTGGCTCAACTGAAAGGATTTTCAGAGTGGAAGTATTATCCAGTGAGCGAATTCGGTGATACTCATCGGTCTCGACAATTTCATCATTGTGACGCCTGTGTTACAAAGGAAGTCATATATTATACTTGCTTAAAATTAAGAGATTTTTGACGGGAGGAAATCCTTACCAGAAGAAGTGAGGAATGGGGTCACCTACAACACGGCAAGTGAGTTCCACAGAATCTCCAGAATAACAGTCCACGTCTGCGAGCTTCCTTGTGAACATTGGAGCAATTCCATCCACAACAGACACCGCACTTGAAAAGGTTATAAAATGGGTGGTTTAAGGATGCTTTGAAGCGTTAACAGCACTTGATATTTGTTGGGGACCACTGGGAGTCCAACGATTGGCATCGATCACGTGACTGTCGATTTGACAGGCCTGCACATAAAGCACTTCAATGCTAGTTGTATGGCTACCTAATTCCCAAGCTCATTTGACGTAGCCTTTCTGACGCTCTTCATGCTTAAGGGAGCCTCCGGAATGAGACAATCTTTTTCTTCCACCAGATTAATTAGTCAGACTTAATCACTGCGTGCCAACTGAGTGCGAGCCGTTAGGTACTAGGCCCGTGGGCTCAGACTCCACATGCGCCCTCACTTATGTTATGAATAATTTGATGTTTTCAATTATATAGCCAACACAGAGCGCTGGCACAAAATGCTACGTAATACGAGTATTAAATCCATATCAACCTGGTTTCTGACGCACTAAGTGCTTTTCTTTTTAACACACACGATCTCCAGCGTGGAAAGTCATCTAACGATTTTACGTTGTCAAGTCTAACTCACTTTAAATGGGATGCTTATTCCTATGAATGATCAATCTTGATAAAAGTCAAGCATTAAGTTGGCATATTGTCATGCATCGTTAGAACTTCATTTATATAACACGATACTCTTAGCATTGATTGCCTCGTTTTAAATGCACATGCATGTATTGGGATAAATGCTAAATACCATTGCGATGAAAGATGAATTCGGAATAATAAGTAGTAATAGGATAAGCTGACTAATACTCCGTTAATAAGTAATTGAATTAACTTATATTGATCTCACCTGATTGGCTCAGATATAAAATCAGGCTCAACGCTGCTGTGATACAAAACAAAGAGACATTCAAATGTACTGGAAGAACTAACGGTTGTATCAAAAATACTGATGAGCATCACTTACCGTTTTGAAGTGTCAAATTGAGTGGATTCAAAATCAGCTTTTCCTCGAAGGCGACATGATGTAGAAAGTGGAGTGGCTGTGCTGGAATCTGAAATCAACTTGAGCTTGTATTCGCCAAGTTGATGTCGACTGGCAGCTGGAATCGTCAAAGCGAAGTAATTTCCGCTGTCCCACACCACGTATTCTGATGTTCTTGTGGGCTGTAAAAATCTCAAGTCATCAGAAAACAGAGGAAACTAGCGGAATTTTAAGAGAAAACCAACACTCACTTCAATAGTATGACCATTCACAGACCATATGGGAGTTATTCCTGGAATAGGTTCAGCAATTTCAGCGTCAAGTGTGATAGTATCTCCTTCTGATACTCGAATTTCAGTTGGAAGTTCCTTAGTAAAGACCGGAGGGGCTGCCTGCTTCGGTTTCTCATCAGGGAAGACCAACAGTTCAGGAAAGTCGACTTCCCAAGCTACTCCATAACCTTCCTCGTCCTCCTCTTCAGCAAGTGGTTCTTCTTGAATAGCTGGAAGTGGATTGTAGGCAACCGAGTAGAAACCGACATCATCAAGTGTAACAGCAGGTTTATAGAGGATGACAGAAGTATGACCGCGATTCTGATCCGATGGTTCAATCCTAAAATCATTTGCAGGATCGTCACGTGAAAGTGGAACACCATTTCGACTCCATGAAACAGATTCGGGTGGAACTTGATCTGGAGGTACATTAAGATCAGCAATCAAGCTCAGAGGTTGTCCTTCACAAGCTGCAAAACCAAGCGGCTGACAAAGATTCGGCTGAACTTGTAAAACATTATCTTCTTCCTCCACCCCTGGGACTTTTGACTGGTTTTCTGCTCTGGCTCGGCTCTTTGCTGGATCTTTCCTCGCCGGAATAATCTCCACTGGAATTTTAAGATTGGCAGATACTGGACAACCGTCTGTCGGTTCTGTCACAAAGAAGTCAGTTTTTAATATCAATCAATCATGTATAGAGTTATTAACAAAAGAAAAACTCACTAATAGACAGTTCATAATCACCAGAGTCGAGAAGAACAGTGGAGTCCAGATAGAGCTGAGCCATGAGTTCACCATCATATCGCTTACCAAGAGGATTAGGTTCAAGGAGACGTTGAACGTGTTTTCCAGAACGCACTGGTTGTCCATTAAGGGTCCATTCCACAGAAGCTACATCGGGCGGAATTCCAGTAATGGTGAGACATAATGGCTCTCCAGCTGGAATCGGAACTTTATCATGTCCCAGTCGCCGATTTGCATTCGCTTCAATGCAGCGGAGTTCAATATTTTCAATTGGTTTTGTTTCAGATTCTTTAGTTGGTTCAACAGCACCTTCAGAAGGTGTCGGTTTTGCCTCTTCCTCACCATCACCTCCCTTCTTTCTTTTCTTTGACTTTTTTTTCTCTTCTCCGTCCCCACCTTCAAGAGACTTCTTCTTCTTTCGTTTCTCCTTCTTTTCATCTCCCTCTCCTGAGGCTGGTATCTTTGTTTCCAGTTCGTTGCTTCCCGTTTCTTCTGGTTTAATTTCGTCTTCGGTCTTGGATGGTTCTGGAACCTCTTCCAATTCTTCTTTCATAACTTCTTCGGGTGCTTCTGCGGTCTCCTTATCCCATACTTCTAAGACAATAGTAGCATAGATAGTCTCTTGAGATTTTAAACCACGTTTTATTTTTGGTTCACCCCTAAGTACGTATGTTCCTGAATCCTCTGGAGCTGCTGGATCTTTCTTTATTAATGCAACATCAGTGGACTTCGGAGGTTTCGGTGTAGACTTTGCAGCAAACTGGGCACTTCGTGCAGTTACACCATCGACATCGCTCAGTGGTTTTCCATCCTTAGTCCACCAGAGCTTTTCATTCTTTAATTGAGGCGCGTCAAGTGGTATTTCGGTCAGCAGTTCTAATTTGTCACCAATTGTTAAGTTAATGGCTCTTCCTCCGTCAGGTAAGTCAGTCTTTGCATCTTCTTTAGGCATTTCAGTGACTGGTAGAGATTCTTCATTTCTCTTATCCTCTTCCTTTGATGGCTTTGTCTCATCGATAGACTTCTTTTTCTTCTTCTTTGGCTTCCCTTCACTGCTTTCGTCGATGGATTTCTTTTTCTTAGGTTTCACCTCGGAGGTCTCATCTCTGCTCTTCTTTTTCTTTGGTTTAACTTCCTTCTCCCGTTCTTCTCCTTGCGGTCTTTCAGTTTCGGAGGTCGCATTAGTCGTCTCTGCTTCAAGCCTGCTTTCTACTCTCTGAACTTCAGGTACTTCTGGTTGGACCTTTTCAGGCACTTCTTTAGGCTTCTCTGCTACAGCAACCACAATTGTGGCATAGGTAGTTTCTTGATTTTTGAAACCCCTTTTAACTCGCGGTTCACCTATAAGAACATAGGTAGCAGCATCATCAATACCTGCGGGATCTTTTTTAATCAGCTCAACTTTTGAAGTACTCGGCAGTAAACTGGTGGATTTGGATGTAAATTTAGCTGTTCTTGGAGCAATGCCATCAACATCAATGAACGATTTTCCATTCTTAGTCCACCACAGTTTATTATTCTTCAGTTGACGAGAATCCAGAGGAATGGTAGCAGTCAATTGGAATTTATCGCCTTCAGTAAGATTTACCGTATCACTTGTTGCGATTGATTCTTTCCTCTTCGCTTCCTCATCAGTAAGTTTAGAAGGCACTTCTTCAACCTTTTCTTCTGCTTTAGGATACATTTCCTCCTCTTTAGGCATTTGTTCTTTAGTGTCTGTTTTCATTTCTTCCTTTGAAACGTCTTGAGGTTTCAATTTCTCCTCTTCCACAAGTGGTTCAGAAAGTTCATCCCTTGGTTGTTCTTCAACAGAAACAACAAACGAAATATAAGTGGTTTCCTGTGATTTGAAGCCCCTTTTAATCCTAGGTTCACCCATTAGTTTGTAAGTACCAGCATCCTCAATGGAGGTAGGCGCCTTCTTGACCAATTCGATATCAGTTAATTTGGGTGACTTTGTGGTTGATTTAGACTTGAAGTCGCTTCCTCGGGGTGAAATTCCATCAACATCCATAAGTACCTTTCCATTTTTAGTCCACCAGAGTCTATCGCTCTTCATTTGTCTAGAGTCAATAGGAACACTCGCCTTAAGTTCAAACTTTTCGCCTTCTTTCAATTTGATAATATTCTCAGCAGTTGCTGCTGTTGGAACGGTTCCTGCTTTAGGGGATTCTGACTTATTAACCTTCTCCTCCTCTTCCTTCTTAGGCGAAAGCTCCTTTTCAACCACCTCGTTCGGAGTCGCCTCCGCCTTTTCTTGCCTTTTAGCCTCTTCAGGTACCTTCTGAACTTCGTTAATGGACGATTTTCGTTTCCCCGGAGTCTCTTGAGCATTTTCATCCCAATCCTTCTTTTCCTTTGACTTTTCTTTTTCTGTTTCATCAGTGGACTTCTTTTTCTTTGGTTTCACTTCAGTTTCTTCATCCCCAAACTCTTTTCGACCTTTCTCTTTACTACTGTCAACAATAGATTTCTTCTTTTTCGGTTTCTCTTCAACCATCTCATCTCGACTCTTCTTCTTTTTCTTTAACTCGATCTCGTCCGTCGCAGGTTCGACCTCAGGGATTTCTTTAGCCGGTTCTGGTTCAGCATTTGTTTCAATTTCAGGTTCATTTTCCAATTTCTCCGGTTCTTGCTTTGTTTTTTCTATCACAGAAACTATTATGGTGGCGTATACAGTTTCCTGATTTTTGAAACCCCGTTTTACCCTTGGCTCACCCATTAGAACATAGGTAGCAGCATCTTCTGGTGTAACGGTCTCTTTCTTTACCAGATCCACATCAGTTGACTTGGGAGATTTATTGGAAGATCTTGACATGAATTTTGCACTCCTTATAGCAACTCCATCTACATCTATAAAGGACTTTCCATTCTTTGTCCACCAAAGTCTATCAGACTTCAATTGACGCGCATTTATTGGAATAGTTGCCAAAAGCTTGAAATCATCATTTTCAAAAAGTTGAAGATTGGTTAGCTGAACCGCCACCTTTGCCAAATCTTCTCCTTTAGGTGAGGATTCTTTGGACTCCTTTGGAGATATCTTTGGCGTTTCTTCTTGAGATGTCTCCACCTTTTCCTCTACGACTTTTTCAACTTCTTCGCAAGGGACTTCAGTTTTCTTTGGAAGCAATTCAGTATCATCCTTCGATTTGGGCTCCTCTTTGGGTTTCTCAACAGTCAGAAGGAAATTAGCCTTGACTTTACCATCTACCCAGAGCGTATATTCGCCAGAATCTGATTCAACAAATTTAGGCTTTGTTAACTCCACAGCTGAATGCTTTCTTTGAATTTCAAAAGCATTTGCTGGAATTTTACGGCCATCAAGTGTCCAGACTATGGCAGCAGAGGAATCTACACGCCCAGTAGCTGTTATTCTGAAAGGATCTCCTTCAACAGTTTTTAATTTAATTGGTTCCATGTATTCTTGAATTAATGGTTGAGTAGATGTTGTTGACTCTCCGGATACCTTAGGAACTTCAGAACTGGAAATCTTTTCCTGCTTTGTGGAAACATCGGTAGTTTCATTTGGTGGGGCATTATTCACACTAACTTCATCTTCAATTGCAATAATACTAGACTTAGATGCTCGATATCGCGTTAGCGGTTCTTCAGCATCCACTAATATCGGTTTGACATTTTCCTTCGATGCTACATCTTTGCTTGGTTCTCCATTAATTTGTACTTCTTGGTAATCAATGGAACCTTCCTCGCTTTCAGTAGCAACCGGTATTTTCGAAACCTCAACCGTCTTCAACTTAAGTTTATTAATTTCATTTGTTGGTTCAAAGTCTTCTTCAGGTTCATGCACTGTAACCTCAAATGGAAATATTGCCTTCATACCAGATGGCCAACTTAAAGTACACTCGTATCGACCTTCGTGTAACTCTCTGGATACCTTCGGAACAAACAGGTACACTGCGTTCCCTTCAATTCGAGGATAAGATCCCATTTTTTCTGAATCAACAGGAACTCCATTAAATGTCCATTCCGTCGTGTAAGCATCATCATCTGAAGTCGATGTCTCAATAGTTAACTCCATTTCTCCACCTTCAGAAGAATCTATCTTCTGAACTTCTGAATTATGAACGAATTGCTCTCCGGGCAAAAGTTTCTGCCCGTGCACAACTTCTGTTCTTTCTAAAATGGAGGAATAGAAGCCTAAGAGGTTTTCAATTTGAAATTAAAAACAAGTACGTTGAAGGTGACTAACCAATGGTATTGACATCTTGTTCGGGTATCTGCTCCATGAAGGGGTTAGTGACACCATCCAATGTATTGACAGAATCTGAGCACAGACAAAGAGAGAAACATAAGAATTCATTTCGATAGATACTTATTGCAGAACAAAGCACACCAGCTGTTGAGATAACAATGAACATATATAGTGAGAATGTAGGATATGATGAATGAGAAACTAAGGCGAATAAGCGAAAGTGCGGACGCAGTGCAGGGTGTAGTAGCGACACCGTACGTACCAATACTTAGCATACTGTCCGGTCTTGGCTTGTCTTGCTTAGGTAACTGCATTATCGATCCTTCGGCTGAGTAGTAGGTTAGTGATGATTCATCGTCTCCTGCTGATTCATAGAAAACAAAACACTCAACAACTAAATCTCCAACTGCCGCTTCTCATTACCGCTCAGTAGAGTGATTAAACTGACTTTATTATGAACCTCGATGGAAACAGTCATTTAAGCCCACTTAACCTACAACCTTTATGTTAACGTTGGTGGCAAGAGGGAGTTTAGGAATAATCAGTGCTGAGATAGTTTAAAATTGGCCAATAATATTACTATTGCCTATAATCTAATGCTTTCCTACTTTCTACTATGAGTGCTACATAAGCTTCTCAAGCGGTTAGGAGAGTGCTTGCTTGGAAAGAATTCAATCTGAAGTCGCCCTAATGGTAATCTGACATTCAATCACCCATATTGAATTAGGGCTGTTGGCTAACCACATCACTAATCACTGAAGTCATCTCGTGAACCCTAAACTCTGCACAGGTTATATAGAACCCAGGGATTCACAGGATTTCGACTTGACTTTCTGCCTAAATTAACTCCAATAATTGTTATTTTAATTACTAGTATTGCAAATGGCAGGTAGTATGATATTGTTGTTTCAATAGAAAACGAAATTACTTTCCAAAACTTTTTAATCATTTTTCGAAATTAGATAAGGTGATACAAGAACTGAACTCCTAGATTTTGAATACTCTATAGTTTGTCTTCAATTTCATAACTTATTTTTTCCCGCCACGAATTTCTTGTTTAATACGTGCTTTGTAATTTCACCAGCTTGGATTAATTTGCTCAATTAAAGCAATCTTAGATGCTGTTTCAGAAAATTCATCAGCTCAAATGTCTCCCATTCTCAAAAAGTGTTTTTATTGTTACTTTTCAAGCGTTGATAATGAGAAACAACCAAAAACCGATGTACAATAAAGTAGATCAGTAAAGCTTGACTTGATCCTCCAGATTTCAATGATCGGAATGGAATCCTTTGACGTTCTAGTGACGTCATTTCCAAAGATTTAAACGAAAATTAATTAAGCAGTTGGATCAAATTAGATAGCCAAGTCAAATTTATAAGTGCGTCCCTTCAAATAGCTCTGAAAATTTAGTGGACTCTGGATAAAATCACCTTCTCAGAATTTCATGAACAGTTACACCAAAATATATTTTTCATGGTAACATCTACTCGGTTTCCATCTTTATGCCAGTGAAATCCAAAAAAATTTCATAAGCATTGGAAATCACTGCTGGGTTTTGTTTAATGAATAGAAATTATCCCCCCCCCCACGGCTTTAGGTCTTCCCCTCTTTATGCACAGACCGTTCATGGGAGCCTACTTTTGGATCACTTTTAGGTTGTGGTTGGCACATTGAAGCCGATCACGTCAGGATCAGCAAATGGTGAAAATTTTGTCTTGATTGTTAAAAGCAACTGTCGCATAAAGTATATTGTTTCCCTATGATTTTCTCTCTTGATGATTCGGAACAAAACATAAAATAGCTCAATAGTCAGTTTCCTGGCTATAAATTGACAGAATTGAAGTGTCTCCTTTGTGAAGAATTCCTGACCAAACAACCAAGCGCAGGAAAGGTTAGATTTGACTTGGAGTTGAATGCTGCAATTACCAATTTCTGGCATGCACTAGAACACTCCATACAGTCTAGTAAGAAGCTTAATCGAAAAGTTAATGGATCGAAGCTCCCAGCTACTAGAATTTCTCATGCAGAAGAGAAGAGATGGAGCGTTATTCTCTAATCTAACTAAAACAATAATCAAAAGGAATAAAATTATGAATAGAAGGTGAGAAATGACTGACCTCTAGCCTGCTGAGCTGCCTCCGAATCCACGTTCTTTGATTTGGTCATTTCGTCAACGTCGTAGTATGCTTCATTAACTACATCAATTGCCTCGGCTGGTATATCATCCACAGTGCTCACTCGTCTTCCATTAACTTCTTCTACTGCAGCTTGGTGAGCTTTAACCAAAGCCTCGTCGACAATGGTATCAACAATGCCTAAAATAGGATCCGAATTCATCAACCTTTACAAGGTCGAAATTAACGAGCCAAAGTCCTGCTAATTGAAAGAGATCTCCTTTAAAGGAGGAGTTTTCGAAATTGGATGGCAAAATCCAAATGCCGGGATGTTAATTCTTGCAACCCCAGCCTACAAGTAGTTCTAGTGACTTCACTTACATTTCACGTAACGTGGCCATGAACACAGAATTCATCGATCCATGGAGGGCGCGTATTACACTTGGGTGCGGCCTTAGAATCAACGTTCGCACGCATGCAAGGTCGATGGACCAATAAGAGGGCTGGAGATGATGCCCAACCACGTCACGCGTCATATGCCCTCTCTTTCCATCTCCTTTTAACCCACACCCCCCCCCCCAAGTCCAGACTAAATAAATTCTCGCGGGCGTCTTTTTATGACCCCGTTATCAGTAAAAAAATCATGGTCTTTGTCCGCCTAAACCAAATGAACCTAATTAAATATTCACGACAGTCCCACACTTGAAATGCTGGGTAATATTTGTTTGCCTTGAGGGGGGGGGGAGGACTGAACCTTCAGTTTATTTAAAAACCTTGTCAGTAAATATTAGGTGAAAGTGGAACATAAATTTCCTAAAATTTCACCTATGACGACAAAACGCACATTACTAATTTCATTTAGCCACTGACTATCAGTTGGATATGACTTTCAGATATTAGTTTGCTCGGATCCTCAGTAATCAACTTTTAAATATTCTTATTTCACTAAAACAACGACAAGCGGTTACTAACTAGATGTGAAATTTAAAAGTTTACCCCTACGCGGCTACACAGGTCTTACAACATTGAATGTCAACTGTAGCTAAAAGGTATGCGTACGACACTTAACGTCTACGATTCCTTGAAAAGTCAGTTAAGAGGGTGTCTTATTTCCTGATAAAATGATGTAAATTCTTTTTGATTTGACATGAATTGTGGCAAGAACTGCAATTCATAATGAGGGAACACATTGAACAATACGTCCCACCTTCGGATCATTTGCACCTACCCAGACATGAAGTCGTTCAAATGTTTCCCTTTAGTTAAATATAATAACTTCAGACTTAAAATGATATTATTAAACACGATGACAATGTCATAGAACTATGTGACAGTTGGGTTCTTCCTGCCAATTCCGAAAACAAACTTTCACAACAGTGAAAATGAGAGAAAAAAGATAAGTGACAAGGAACAACCTACCTTTATCCTTCATCGCACGTTCTATATCCTGAATCCAAGCCAGCTGGTTAACTGGACTGGTTGGGATAATTGTATAAACACATTTAATTTGTTCCTCCGGATAGGAAATATCCCACAACTCGAAATTCGCTGTGTCCATTTCCATCCCATCCGTACGAAGCCTGACATTTTCCAACTATTAAGAACAAAATAAATACATAAACTTTATTAAATCTAATTAAAATAAAATAATTCGATAGCGATTAAACTTTAATCATTTAACATTTCGGGGCAAAAGGTGATTAACTCGATTAAAGGAAACAGAATATTCAAAATGCAAACTTTAAATGAGCTAGGACACATGATTTATATTTCGAGTAATTTTGTTTTATTTTTAACAGGAATCCTGAACGCGGTCATTTTAACTACCTCGATCCTCTGGAAATACTTTGGCAGTATTAACTCTCCATTTAGCCCTAAGTTATCACTTCTTTTGAACACTTAAAAACTCTCAATTTAAGAATGAGTTTTAAGGAGGAATAAGTGAATGGAGAACTAAGTTAGAATTGGGATGAGTTAGTTACTGAATGCATTAAACTATCTCCCAGAGGGTAATCAATAACCAGTGTAATAAAACATAGTTATAATTCATTTAAACCTTAAAAGCGGTGAGTAGAATCTAAGGTGGGGGGGGGAATCAATAAGACACTCGTGGACTTCCCGCAAATGCACTTTAAGTCAATTGGATGCCAGCTTAATGGGCCTTACGATGACATATCATTCACTCCTGGAGATTTTAATAACAATTTGACGCAGCTCTAAGTATTATGGACACTCATCAACGATCTTTATGACCAAATATTTAACTTGTATTTGTTACACCCTCTAGACTGCATCCTGCTTAATCCCTCACGATCTTCCTAATACACTGAAAACACCTTTTGCCCTCCTTGGAAAAATTTTGAAAAAAAACAATTGAAAGACAAGAGCGTAGGAGTGTAATGTGCTTGTTTGAAAGCTGGGAAATTTGAATACCTGGGAAGTAAGTTTAAATTGCTTTAGAAAAGTAATTATTAATAGCAACACTAAATTTTTGCTCCTCCAAAGGCAATCTGCCTTATCTTTGTCATTGAAAACATGCCGCGCTATTTTTACTTGTGGGTGTGATAGATTTAGCATATATTATTCGTAATGCTAGTTTTTTGTGGCATTTTTCCTGGATTGCGCCTAAAAATGATTCACTTGACTACCTTTAGCTGCGATCATTATTGCTATTTTCTCCATGATTGCAGTTGTTTTAACAACAGCCATCTTATTCCGGAGCGTGGTTTGAATTTGCCTTATGCTACTGGTAAATTATAAAGTTAAATTTATCGATTATCCACGAAATTAAGGATGAGAAAACAGAAGAACATTTGATTGGTGTTTAAATTGATGCTTTCAGCCCCTTGAACTACTCAAGTTTCACCATAGAACCTGGGACATTCGGTTTTCATATGGTAGTCCTTAGCGATCTTTCCACTTTCATTATGATCCTTTCTTAATCTTAAACACATGGATACCAAAGCTTTGGAGATTCTAAATATTTTGGAACGTGTGAAGGTCTTCATAAAATGACAATTTCAATAACCCTACGCATTCAGCTTTGCACCACCTTTCCCTTGAATCGTAAAGTGAACTTTCATTTTAACCTGAATTTCAAGCACACCTAAATCATTAACCACAACCCCAATGCCCGCCGAATCTCCTTAAAGGCCATGACCGAATGACCTCAAGATCATGAAAGAAGATTTGAAGTTAATGCGAAACTAAAAGGGGCTTTACGGGATTAAAGTTTAATAAAAAAATCTTACCGGCAGTTTCCACAGAATTTCATGTTTCTTTTGATCATCTGGCACTTTCTGTATGAAAAGAAGACTATTCCGATCAAGTAGCAAGAAGCCTTCCTGCGTATTTTCTACAAGATTTTCCTCAGCATTCTGATTGCCGACTTTAAGCAAGGTCTAGAATTAAGTAAAACAAAATTATACATTTTCTTGCAAAATGTATTCATTTATAAATGAAAACGTTAATTTATACTTAATTACAAAGAATAAATTAGCTAGCAAATTTAACTAGTTAAATATATTGTTAAATGGCCCGATTTTACACAACATTAATAAATATTTCACTTGTGATTGTTAACAATGAGATCACCTAATGATTCCAGCCAAATAATTGCGACCATACATAACACAAAAATTTGTTTGGGTGAGCCAATATCAAACACCTTCTTATTTCAGGACTGTGGAGTGTGCGATAGACTTACCTCCACGTGGTGCACTCTGGGCAACGTATACTCATACAGCAAAAAGGTCTATTAATCGGCAGTTGACTTCTGACTTCAAACTACCAAGACCCCACCGCATTTCATATTCTACTAATTAAACAGTACTCACCTTTTTTCTACCTTTGTGTCTGTCTGTCTCTTTTACGTCTGTGAATCATTATTCTGTCCCCCCTCTCGACCTCTTGCCACTTTGGTGTTCCTCTTCCTTTCTGTGAAGCACGAAGTCAACTAAAGGGCTAATGATACCCATCATAACGCCTGCCATTTGAAATAAATATTTCAGGACTGTTAAATTCCAGGTATCTCACTCTTTAATTAATGCGTATAGTTCATCACAACTTAAATCAACATTCTAAAGTTCAAACGTCAGAATCTGATGTACTAGTAGTTAGGGCAGAAGTTCACATCAATCATCAACTTTCATCATCAGATAATTCCCTCACAAATTTCAGAACTATTACTGAGAATATTATTAAAAATATAAGCTTATAATTAGACAACATGAACAAAATCAATTTCTCTACCAAAATTCTGAGAAAACTTCCTTGTATGAGGGAATATTTAAAAAGTTTACAATTATTCAAAAGATGGACTGAAATTGATTTCTTAATGAAGGAATCCATTTAGCAAAAGTCCTGGTTCAAGAAGAATTTAATTTGAGCTAATTTCAAGTGGAATTCCATCTTTCAAGAATTAAATTTTAACTCTCGAATTTCCATTGAAATAGCACAGGGCGCCCAAGCGTACACGATTTCGTAGAAAAATGAGTTAATATTCTGAATCTCCTAAATTCCTTTCTCTCGACTATTGGCAACTGGCGCCTTCTGATAAAAAAGTAAGAACTTAATTTAATTGTGTAGGAAATGCACTAAACTCTTTGCAATATCGACTATCTACATTTATTATCTTTGCAAAAGCTAAGGCAAGTTTCCTCTCTATTTTTGTTTGATTAATTGGAGTAAAAGACGCGAATTCTTTAAAGGTGTCAAAATATACTAGTTACCGCTTTCTCACGTAAAAATGGATCATTAAAACCCTGTTTCAGTGTGAAAAGTCCACTTTACACAATTATAATAATAAGAGGAAGGCAACTTAACAGCAATTATGGCAAACAGAACAGCAAGGATGCAGGAAATAGAGTAAGAGAAACAAAAAAACTATTCTTTCATTCAAATCTGCCAATCATCAGCCTGTTGACCTGCAATCAATATGAAGTTAACTGAAATTATGCACATGTTTCAGCATTCAAGAATCTGAGTTTGAAGTCTGCCATGATCAGGGCCCAACTGAATTGGGCGTTGAGTTAGAAACAGTCTAATTTCTTCACTTGATCGGAATTAGTTAAATCAATTTAATTATAAGCCATCAAGCACACTGCCACAGAGGAACTAGAATTATGCCTAACTAACAGTCTTGAAAGCTATTTCGACCTTGCTTCCACAACCAGACACCAATGAGAAGTTTGGATTCCTTGTATACTTACCAATTCGATTCAATGCTACTTAAGACGGTAGTGGTCATTGGGCTGAAATGATCAAATACCCTCATTTGTGTACCCTTTAATGCTTGTTCCAACCGTTTAAACTGCTCCACTTTAGACGAACTCCATTATTCTACAAAATCTCCTCAATAAACATTTATTTAAATTACACTTGAAGGTAAACTCATAAGTATCTTTAAAAACATAAGTTAATGTCTTGCAGCGAAAAACGCCTAATGTATGTTTTAAGCTAAAATTCAACTTAAGCATGATTTTGAGTTTACAACTAAAACACAGAAATTTTATTGAAATATCTCCTAGCAATAAAATATGCTGGAATTGCTTGGGATGTCAGCATGGTTTAGCTGACTTGAGAAGGGAATAACGCAATGTTCAGAAATCTTGTCGCGATGAATAATCTTCCTTAGAGAACTTCAAAAAAGCTAATTCACTTCGTTCACATTGTATCCGAATGGAATTTGGAATTTAATGGAAAGTATGATAAAAATTACCATTCTTATGATAGTTTGTGGTAGAGAATTTGCAGCAAAATCTTCGTCTTCATTTGGTAAGACACCCAGACTACCATTTACTGGCATATTCGACACATAAGGCCACAACTTCAGGGCTTCACTTGTTCGTCTTTGGATTTGTTTCAATACTGTAATAGCCTCCTCAAGTCCACGAGTGTCCTGACTGGCTCTACTGGAATATCTTGCCATCGAACTGAGTAAATGCTCGTAAGCAGAAAGGTGAGTTTTTGGAGCAAAGAGGTATTCAAGAAGATGTTGAGCATAGATTCTCCCCTCTTCGCCGTCATTTTCAGGTGTCAGACAGAAGACGTTATTCAGTTTGTCCCCTGATATGAGATTCTTAAACGATTGCATCCATTGATTCAAATAGTAAAGATAAGCTGAATATTCTGCCCACTGAGATTCCTGAAATTGAAACAACATAGGTACTTATTTTGATAAAGTAATATGTATTTTAATAACCACACTTCAGCGTACATTTTGAGTGAAGCAGTTCGCAGCTTGTAATGGATCAACGATGCACGCTTGAAATTTCAGTAATGAACTGAAACAAAATTTAAATAGTTTAATAGATTGACTAATATGGGTTTATAATCTAATCGATACGGACAAACCTTTCAGACAGCTCCAAAATGTTATCAATATGGGCGAGCATTCCTTTTGTAGCTTTAACCATTTCTTCCGGTAAGGGTACTTTATTGTCATTTTCAAATTGTGTGCCTTCGAGACGTTTGAGGAAGTTTCGAAGCGTCTTAATACGGAACTGATAGCCCTCCTCCTCTTCCGCTAAATCTGTTAGCGCATGCCTGGAATGTCGGCAAATTTTGACTTTTAATTGTTATTCTTTTCACGATTGGAAAAAAATTGCAAAAAAGGATGTGAATTTGCGCAAAGTGATATGGATAAAATTAAAAAAGAGGTGGAATTTAAAGACGTACAATATAAAAACCTCACATTTCTGCTGAAATGGAGCTAAAATTTGCTCGTTTCAAACTTATCTTTGTTTAAATTACTGTTGTTTGAATGCAAAACGATAGGGGTCGTGGTGATTGTGTAGTCCTTGGCTTTTGCTACATAAAAATTCTACCAGCTTTATTCCAAGGCCATTCGTTCCGCTCTTCGTAGCTACCAACTGATGAGTTACGATTAAATTTATCAAAAACAACAGAAACGTTGCTTCGTCGAACTGCACTTGCTGGTGTGCGAATTAATATTGATTATAAAAATCTTCGATCAAACAAGATATTAGAAGTTATCTTGAAATCAATATATGTTCATTAGTTTTTGAACAAAATTATTACTGATAAGTATACTTCCATACCATTAGCGCCACAGTTATCTAGATGGCTGGAGTTCCATGGAGGTATTAGGTTTTACCTGGCAGTATGCTTCGAATATCTAAGAATTGCTTTCTATTCAAAAATTCAGTAGGTTTATTGTTGAAGTTTAACATGGAAAGTTATAATAGTAGCGAAGCAACCCCCAGACATGGAGAGTGCGTTTCTATAATCCAAATGAGTTGCACCAATGCACACATCCAAACAAATGTCCCTAATGATGGTAAGTTATTGATAAATCGTAGTCTTTATTTAAGCAAATAAATTTTTTTGGAATTGGGCATATGACGTTGCTTGCATTTGGTGTTTTGAATACAACTGTCTACATAAAATTATAAAGCTCTATGTACCTAGCTTCCAACACACTACGGTGATGATCAACAAAACTTAATTCTACGAATAAATCTTGTTGGATTTCGAAATAACCGGGACGTTCATTGCTACGAGTCTGATTAAAAAATTAAATTAAAATGAACCTGCTCAATTTTCTTTACATCACTTGAAAAGAAACAGTAATTAATTTGGTAGCTATTTTTAGGGAAGGAAGTAAAACGTTGAAATAATATTAATGGCGAATAGAAATTTATTTTGAACTGGGTAGGCAAATCGAGACATTGAAGAATAGCTTTGGTTAGATTGAATGAATGCCTCATTGGTTAAACCAAAGCTAATTATCCAATTGATCAAACCATTTTTTGGCACACGGTTGACCACAAAATGGTATAGAAAGAGTGTATGTATAATCCGAATTTTCTGTGGCATTCAATGCCGCTGTCCCAGTAACCTCTTATCAGTGAACTGTTTTCTGCCCATCGTGGTTAGATCATTGCCAATTTAAACATGATTTTCACGAATGCCGACTTCATGTAGTGCGTTTTCCTAATCACGAATTTTAAACTTTGTGGGATGCGTTTACTTGAGAACCACTGTCAACCTAAATCCCTATATTTTACTAAACAGCTATTATTGACATATGTCACTATGACGCAATCTAGTAAATGCTTAATCTGGGTTACACAATGTGGTTATCGGCATATTCTGCAAGCCAAATCCAATTTCGCCAAGGACATTTCGAATTACTCATTTGCCTCAATGGCAGTCTAGTAGATTGGGTTGTGATGCCAGTTAAATAATTACAACTTCAAGGTGATTAATTCGATTTACCCAACAGTTTAAACTATTCACTGATTTAAAAAAGTATTTTACCAGAATTAGGAGTGGTGCATATTTTAATGAATGCAAAAAATATGTTGCAAGTAGTAAGCTACCTTCTCTTCATGAGACATTCGTGTTGTTTGTTTGAAATGGTAAGCACTTCCTCCCTAAACTTTTCCCGAGGATTTTTATTGGTTGAGAGGCGATAGTGACTAGCCACGGGTTTCTCCAACAAGCATACGGCAGCAAGACGACCAGACCTATAGGGTGCTGCAGCCTCCACGACCCATCGATCGGGATTGTCTGCGTCTAGGCGTTCCACAACCTCATCTTCCTCCACAGACATTAGCTCTGGACTGGTTTCTCTTCGCTTGTCTGCCTCTACGTCGAAGGAGGCATAATACCTCCTGCGTTCTGGTTTATCTCTCTTTTGAAGTAGAAAATCAATTATTATATTCTGATTAGAAGTACTTGAATTAATAATAATAATAAATATTGATAATATATATTTTTAAAAATGCACCTATCCTTCGAATGTATTAGACAATTTAAACATACGCCTTCAAATGCAATTTATCAAATAAAATTCCCCGCGGTTTTGGGAAGCGTTGAAATGAAACCGATCTTAAAAAGATTGATTAAGTAAGAATGCTGCAATTTGTTATATAAATTTTTTCCCGATTTCCAGAATATTCCATTCCCAATTTAACTTACGATTCCAGAAAATAATACAAAGCATTATAAAAAACGAACATTGAAATTCTGGGGTGAAATAATGAATCTAAAATTATTTAATCCGAGTACAGTTACTTCCTTGAACTACTTCCAAATATTCATAAAAAAAGAACAAAAGAGAAAAATGATTTTGAAGTGCCGTATCAGTGACAACAAGTCACACGAAAAATGAAACGACCATTACGAGTTACCAGGAGTGCAAGACAAAAAGCATACCAAATCTATTCCAAAACAAGGCCTCATGCACTCCTCCTAGCAGAGCAAGTATTTACACGTTTTGGATGCATCTACTAATGATCTTGGCTAATGGCAAAGTTGTGAAGTGATCTAATTGACAAGAGTTGACGCATAATACTCAAACATGTTTCTTTAATGTTGAACGACTAATATCATCTTTAAAATGACATCAGCTCTCTCGTCTCGCTAGCTTTATCACCAGAAGCAAACATGGCCTGAATTAGTATGACCAAAGACAATTAAATTAACCAACTCGTCAAAAGAATTGTTAATATAGTCAGCTCGAGAAATCATGCAGAAAAATCTGATATTTTGAAGTTGGAATTTAAAAATGACTTGAAATTATGAACTGTATGCATTCTACGAAATCTGTACAAGAAGTAAGACAATTTCTATTTCCAGGCATTATTCTGTCTCTAATCGGTTCCTCTCAACACGCTAACCTTTTATTTTAGTAACTTACTTGCAGATTGTACATTTGTTTGTTTTGTCATTAGTGACAAATAAATCAGAGTAACTTACTTCTGACCAGGTGTCGAAGAGACTTCTGGAAGTATCAAAGGCATCGATGTTGAGGGAGAAGTGACTTGACAACCTTCGAAGTTGAATTGAGTGTCGTCGAACTTCACTCATGATGGTCGTTGCAACTAGAAAATAACCCAAATTAGTAATCAGCATGGTATAGAAACCCGTCTTTACAGCGTTGCTGATTAGTTAAATGACATTTCATTTTCCAAATTTTCATTGAATTGTAAGCCCTCTAGCCATATCTTTTAGATTACTTAGAAACCTTTCGGTAGCTCCCTGTATTATATACCGATGTATAAACCGTTTTGTACAGTGTAAGGATATTAACTAAAAACAGAAATTTATCAATTAAAGATTATATCATGTTTCCGGATCAGCATTTTCATCCAACTCTGCTTTTATTATAAATGTCTATCAAACTGCAACTAATTTAAATTACCAGCAATTCGCTTTTGGAGATATTGATATGGACTAAAACACTAAGCATGTTGTGTGAATAACTAGACAGAGGTTGGGTAGCAAGATATGTATCAGTCTGTAAAAGCATAGGAGAATAGAATCATTAGTTTTAGTTTTAGGATCAACTTTTATGAGGCAACAGCAAATATACTGGTTAAAATTGTACTGTTTATTTTAAGTTTTACAAATGCGATCTGAACATGTTTGGCAATGAATTATTGCCATCATATTAATTACCTGAAAAGTATTTCAAAGCTGTAGTTTCAAATTAATTTAAAATTTTGAAGACTTCGGCTATTTTTATCCTCTTAACGCCAGCAAATTTATTAACTATTAATTTAATAATGCCCGGTATTAATTATTAATATTTGAGATAAAACGTGGAGAATGTATACATTGGTCTTTAAAATAAAGCAAATTAAATAAAAGAAATTGGTTGCAATACAAATTGAATATTTCAATAAGCGAAAGACATCAATTGATTTGAATAGCACAATTAGGATTAATTATGGTAATCTCTCTGCAATAAAAGGTCAGAATTACTAGCCCCATCGCAGACCGCAATTAATGTAAAAGTACAAGATTAAGTGTTGCCTATATTTCCAAACATTGCCGATGGAAAAAGGTAATCGATGTAGTTTGCAAATACTAAGGTGTAAAGCGTATCGACTAATGGCAGTTGAAGCTCATTATAATATGGGATTAATATAATATTTTTTACCTTGGAAATAATGTGACTATAATAAAGGGAGATAAATCAGTGGGATGTAATTAGACTAGGTGATAAAGGTTGAGTTTTGCTAACCGAAAATCAAGGTAATTTCTACTAGCTGAGAGCTTTGTAACTATAAGCAAGTGTGGCGTCATTTTGATTAATTTAAACTTGGATAATTTTGAGGAATACAGAATAAAGATATTTGAATTTAATCAAAAATGCATGAAAGGGAGTATCTACTGTGATTGATATTAATCATTCACCTTCAAAACTATCGTTCAGTTGATTGGTATGCTCTAACAATAGCAATTTTTTGCTCTTCGAAGACTTAACTTGTCCTTATTTTGGGTAGTAAATAAAATCTTTGCAACTTTGGAAGCAATTAGTATAACTTTTAGTGAAAAGTTTAAGAAATTTTGACGCGTATTCAGACACTTGGTGTATTAAATTCTTTAAAATGTGATTATCTTTTAATAATTTAATTATTAGAGTCCGTCTTGCAACGACCTAGTGAGCTCTGATATACTGCTAAGCTAGCACCGTTCAACTATCGCAACCATTTGGAAGCAAACTTCCCTAACCCACAGCTGCTAACAAGTCGGTAACATCATATCAAATCGGATACACACTTTCAACTCTAATCTGGGGAATTGAAGCTGGATTTCAAATTTGAAAAAAAACGTAATGGACAAAAAATTTAGCTTATGAGAAGAGCATCTACGAATCCTTCTTGGAAGCTGAGTTTCAACCAATCTCCCTAAAATATGTCAAGGGTTTGGGGTTAAAAAGAGGCCTTAACTGCGAAGACAGCCAGGGAGAAATATGGAATTGGAGGGCAAAAACCTCCAAATCATCCCCAATTTCCTCTTGAGAAGTATTTTTGAAATTGCGGTTTTGCTTCTCTCCTTCCCTTCTCCACGCCAAGATTGCATCAATAACAAATATTTCGTCCAAATGAAACAAAACTGAAGATTAAAGCCATTAATAACTTCTTGACTATTTTTTTAATGGACTCGCCAGCCTTGTAGATAAATTAAATGTTCAAAACTTTGGATGGAATTTTTGAAAAATAGCCAATTTCCCTCCGGGACAATATTTAGACGAATTCTAGTAAATTTTCAGAGTGAAGAACAACATCAATCTCCTATTGCTTCAAATTTACCTATAAAATAACAACGCACTTGTTTCTACAATTTAAATTTAAATTGTGTAAAGCGTGTTACTGACAAAAGTTTGTGAAAATTTCGCCTCACAAGAGGGAAAAAAGTACTGTGGGTATCTGTGTGCTGTAAAATGAAATTTTGTCCACTTTTATACTATCCACAATTTTTGAATCACATAAACAACAGGTGTAGGTAAATTGGCATCTGTAGGAATACCTCCCGCCAACCCACCTTCCAATATTGACGCTGAAGGCATAGTGGAATTTTCAAGGAAGAAGAGACTTGAATGCGGTAGAATATAAACTGAAGGAAAACCTCACTTTCAAGGTGGAGAATTAGCCTTTATTCCTTTTAACATACTGTCACAAATAACGTGATAAATCTATTCATTCAAAGGTATAAACATGCTATCAGTATGTTGACTATGAATGAAAGCACAATTGATATAGAAGTGCTGAATAGATTTAGCTATTCGTTTATAAGAATACATATACGTAAGGATATGTTAAATATAGTGAAACATATAAAAACGAAAGTGGAAATGATGCATTTCATATCGAAAGCCATTAAGAATGCCGGAACAGTGCGTCACAGTATGAAAATTTCGAACCTCGTAAGTATTATTAGGCTGGAAAAAATATCCACTTCTATAGAAGAAACAACTAGGAGCTGAATTGGTAAAATGGGGAGAAATTTCTGTCTCGCAGTGAGTAGAGAATAAGTATAAAAGGATCAATTTAGATATTTGAAACGATCCTTATAAATGGGAAAATAGTGATGGTTCAACGATTCTTGTATTCATTAAAAAGATATCACATTTCCAAGATGATCACTCTCATTCGTTAAAGGGAATTTTCACCGACATTGGCTCTGTGTAGCTTCAAAAATTTAGCATTTCAAAATTCAAGCGACAGGAAGAAATGTGAGTTCATTTTGAAGTTAATCTAATGATCGCAGCTACTTTGACCGACCCGATAGCAAAACAAAGATATTTTTTTTCCGAATTCAAAAAAACCGAATACTTAATGTTATTGTTATACTCTATTCTAACACTCACTACCATACTTTCCTGGGCTAAATGAGAAGAATAACATTAGTAAACAGTTGAATTATGTAGGGACTTAATTTATAAATTCTGAGTTCCACATTCTTTCCAAAAACACAGAATTGAATTGAAAAAATACGTTGCTTTAATTAATAGGCCCAATGATGCTTCTATTGGTGGATTTGTTAAAGTCTAATGAAAGCATGCTAGTTGGCTATGGCGCTTCTTACAGAAATTTGCCCAAATTCCTTTAATTCGCTATTTTCCTCATGGTGGAGTCAGTAGTTATTTTAACACCAAAGTTGCCGAAAAAGTGTAAGCACAACAAAGTATGCATTAAAGCATTTATTAAACTTAATATAGCAATACTTTGCCTAATGAAATATAATCCCAAAGGGGGACTTCCAGAAGGTAGATGCTTGAAAAGTATAGAGAAATTCTGGCACAAAGGTGAGCGCGTGCGTCTTACAAGTTGGCGGTTATAAACTTGTTGCAAACCCTGCAATCATTTGATTAACATTTCTACTCTCGGTTGACCTCCCTAAACCACACTGATTTTCTTCCGGACACCTTCTCACCATAAAGTGTACAAATTAATTTGTCTTGACATGTGAGGCAAACACATCCTCTTCCTTGAAGAGATAATCGATAAATCCAAGATGAAGGACGTCCAAGTAGTTGGGAATGAATTAAACTTTCTTTGTCACCGTTAATTACTCTTGAAGTAATGGAATTGACTCAGATAAACAGGTAATATAAAAACCATACATCACCTATATATGTGCTATGAAAATGGAATAGCAAATAGTTTGAATTTAATTATCCAACAGAGTAAAGAAGCAACTAGTTTAAATATCGGTTTTGATTTTCCCATTACAAGGAATTAATCGATTAGTAAATGCGTTTGGAACATCTGAAGGCAACGTGGAAATACACCGATGGAAAAAACCGTCTGCCGCCTTAACTCCATTAAGAAGGTTGCAACTAGTGCAGCTGCCTGTCCTTATCAGTAGATATTGGCAGATAAACATTGACTGTTTGACCTTTGTAACCTTTCTCCATTTTTAAATATTTAAGCGAATTTAGGAAAATTATTTCGTATCTAGGTTTGGTAAATATGATTAGACCTGCGCTAATGTCTGGTAGCTACATATAAAATTTTAACTTTTTCCTTTGAAGTCAGAATTTCTCCAATTAAACTCGTGACCTCAAAGGTAAACGAATGTGGGGGGGGGAGGTCAATTGATCGTTGGTGTCCATTACATATTCGCTAACTTGCAATCATTCGCAAAATTAAATTTTGAAAAAAATTAAAAATGTTGAAAATATTGGGTAAAATGTAATCTAAATAATGATGCTTCATCTAAAGCATTTTGGATCGTATTTTACTGACATTAATAATTTCATTTGTTTTAGTATTTTGGGGAATATTTAAGGGTTTTGTTTGCCAAATAAAACCACCCAAACATTCCAAGTAATTTAGACCCACTATCTACCTAGAAATTTAACATTCTCGTTCTAATCTGTTGATTGAAAATTCAAAGTCGTATGTACCTTTAAAGGGAATAATTTTTAAATTAAAATGTCTAAGTCAGTCAATTCTTGTTGAAGTAAAAAACGCAAAATAAGAAGTAGATCCGCTAATATTTCGTGTCAAGGGAACGCAAGACTTTATAAATGTCAAACAAAATTGATAAGGTTTTAGGTCATTAAATCTGATTGTACAACAGCAAAAATGCCAATAAATGAGTTAATGAAATACGTATAAAGAACAAGCACTATTGTCAATTTATTTTCACTCTAATTTGTCGTAAATAATCCATTGAAATGCAAGAATATGGAAGTTTAAATATGATAACTACATTGCCCGTGACCAAGGATCTATTTGCACATAAATTAAAATGCATTATTCAATTGAAAGAAAAAAATATTGACAAATTGTGATGAAAGAAAAAAGCAAAAAGCAGGCAAAGCGGGAAAAGTGATAAAAAAATAAGACGAAGCATGGCTCACTTAACACTCATACGACTGTTCGTTCCAACGCAATCCTCTTTTGCCCTCTCTCGCCTTTCGGCGCTCTCCTGAGCCTTTTTCCCACAAAATCAGCACACTTGAACGGAGCACGTAATTTCCCAAAATGCGATTGGTTGAGGGGAAGCTAATGACGTGACCGTGGTACGTGTGCACTCCACTCTGGATATCGCTAACTAACGGGTTGCTTGAATACACGTAAATCTGGAAACCGTGGTAATTGGTGTAATGCACACAGCTTTTACTGCATACGTAACAGTTAATGGAATATAACTCTTTACTATGCCGGTCCGCCGAATTAGTACCTTCTGGAGTGTTAAGTTCGAAATATGAGATTTGTTTTGATTTCAAGAGCTTAACTTCAAAAGAAAATTTCATTCGTTTGCTCTTTCCCTTAGTTTCCTTACTAGGTATGAAATTAAGAAAAGTAAGTTGTGTTTTTTTCAATTATAGAAGATTAGGTAACTTGACTTATGATCAAAAATGAGAGAAATTTGATGGCCAAAAACCCCTCACTTCATCTATAACAAAAATCTCAAAGTTGGGAAAATTGTGTCTTTAATGGGATTTTTAATTTAAACTTTAAATAATATCAGGCAAATAGGCAATGGGATAGCTTGTCATTTTCTTCTAAAGTAAGAAAACCTCTGAATTTAATCCAAAAATTGCCATCGGCATCTTTACAGTAAGTGATAAATTAAGATATATTGAAAATAGTGTTTGAGAGAATTGGGCCCGATTGTCTTATTGCTCACCAATGGTTATTTGACATTTTTTCTGAGTTATATGACGCTAAGGGAAAGGAAAAGTATAGAGTGATTGGATCACTGCAATCCTTATTTTAGTAGAGTGTTAAGTCAGTATAAGACCCTATTTACAGCTTTAAAATGATCTAAACTTTTTAACTTAATAGAAATCGCTAAACCCCTCAAATTGAAAACTTTTTAAGTCCCACCCGCTTAGATGTGGATAAGAATATTAAAAAGAGTAATATCAGGTGCGAAATGACGATTTTTCAAATATCTATAACTTGTCCTTTAACCCCACAGCAACAACTTCAAACCGAAAGAGGGCTGTATAGCTGGTAAGTTGCGAAATCCGCGTATATTTACAGCAAATGCATCAGCAAAAATTATCTCTCAACGCAATCGTTTTAAGAGCTTGCCTGAAAATGATTGCATATCATCAAATCACTTGCCAAGTCCTTAAAAAATTAATTTTAATAAAATGAAAGAAAGAAGAGTTCTAGTAATTGGAGCAAAGAGCATGGAAATGGTAATAGGTCATAATAGGGTGCGTATTTTAAATTTTAATTAAGACAAACCAAAATTGACCATTTATTGCAAATTTTTATAAAACTGATTTATCATTTGAAATGTGATCAATTGCAGGCTAATTGTCTTCCATAGTATTGAAGTAAAGTCTGGCATTAGAGTATTTGCGTATTATTGGTGATTTCTGAATTTAATGACTTCTAATAATAGACGCAGCAAATAGATTTTGCAAAAAACTTGATAAATCGAATTAAGTATATCACAAATTCTCTGTGGAAATTATCTTTCTGTCTTACATCTTTGCAGTCTTATTGGCTCTTTTATAGCTGTTCAATAGTATGATCTACTGAATATAGCTTGCATATCTAAATGTTAACTAGAGAAGGGCAACCACTTCCATCATCATAGTTTAGACGGAATTTTGGCAAACTTCTAATGCCTTGGCGGTTTTGAATGCAATAACTGAGAGTAATATGTCGGAGCCTCGACTAATCTAATTTAGATGGTAATTTGGCTCAGTCTCACAAGCTAACAACAAAACAATTGGGCAAGTCATTTAAACTTTTATTTATAGGCGTACTAGCTTACATGATAAATATTTATTCATTCAGAGTAATTGAAAAGATTTCTAAAGCTTTTATTCCTTTGAAAACTTGCGAATTATGGACATATTGAGGAATTCCCTATTTTTCTCAGTGCAGTACTAATGATGGATCCGAAATATAAAGAAAACACCAGGAGCACAGATTCCTTATTACAATTCTGGAGAGTTAATTGGCTTTAGTAGTAATTTTACAACATAAATGCGTCCGCGTTGAATAGCTCAAATTCCTAATTCATATAGAAGTAGGACTGATTTTGATCAATTTTTATTAAGGGGCACCTGGGTCCACTCGCTAGGTCAACTTAATCATCTAGAACAGGGAGGATATCAGTGATCAAAGGCAAGTTACCGCGAAGAAGGACAGACCACTTACTCTTTTCCCCAAACACACCTGGTAAATTGCTTCGACAAACCACTTAGCTTCTGTTTAATTTTATTAGATCAAGATGGGGGCAAACCTTCTATAGTCTTGGATGTTTTAATGTAGTGCTTTCCACTTTTTGGTCAAATACTTCCCAACTGTTCATACTCTCAAACTCTCAAGATATGAATTTTCAAATTGAAAATAGTTAATATTTCCCCTATGACACCTGCTTTTACAATAATTAGTGGACCTCCTCACAGTAGTGTACGTTTCCGGTGACAAATGTGCAAGCTTCTGGAAAGGAAAAGGAAATCCTTCAAATTTGCCTTTCCATACCACTTCTACCATTATTTTCCACCTCCTTTCCAAACTTCTTATAATTGTTGGATAAAATAAGGCTTTGTTTTGACGCACTCTTCCTTCCCTCATTTTGATGTGTGTTTTAGTCTAGACCAGACATTGCCCCTAATGTCTAGAATTCACTACACTAGAACGCTACAAGTCAAAAATGGCGTCTAGTCATAGATAATATTGCAATGCTTAGTTCTGAATAGGCAGTTCTTCAAGACGGACGAAGCCTTTCAAATAGAAATGCAAAGGATTTATGCTCGAGCACTGCAGAAAAATGAGCTGTCTATTTTTCAAAATACAAACTAACGATGTTCACTAAATCGAAAAGAAAGTAGAAATTTTGGTAAAGGTAAACCTATACAACGACGTAGAGACATACCTTGTTGAGAGAGATTCTGAACACTACCGTGACCCCTTTCTAATTGGGCTTCATTCGTTGTCACAATTTCAGCGGGGAGAGTTGTCAGCTTACCATCAGTGCTCACTAGACTTCCTTTAACACCTCGCTCATTAAAGTTGGTGTTTTTATCGAGTAAGTTGAAAAATTGTTCAAGAGGATGCAATTCAATTTGTTGTGGTAGAAGGTCACTGGTAGGATGTGTTGCAACTTGTAGGTTAACTGCAGAGCAATCGGTGGTGTCAATATCCTTAACGCATTCAGTATCAAGGTCTTGAGGGAAAAGAGGTGATTGCAGAGTGAGGGCTGCTTCAGCATTCTGCGATTGACTCTCATTGCCTTTTGAAAACTCCGTATTCAAAACTGTTTCTACCGTTTGTGAAATTTCGGTTTCCGCATGAATGGATACCTCGTTCTGTGCTGTTTTCAAATCCAGTGTATCAGCCTGATTTGCTATTCCAAAGTTTTTGACGGCAACATTAGACACTGCATTAAAAGCATCGACTTCACAAAACATTGCAGACATTTCTGATGCACCAGCCTGCTTTGAATCATACAAAGAGGGTCTTCTATTTTCAGTAGATGGACCATCACACTGTTGAACTGAAACTTCAGCTTCTGCGATAATTTTGTAGTCTATCGATTGCATTTCCAATTGCAGCTTTTCATTGAGTTCCTCCTTAATATTCATGTCCACAAAATTCTCAAATTCGGTTTCCATCTTTTGTTCAATTCCACAATGTAAGTTTCCTTCAAGTGAGTCTGTTGATTCCACAACATCATTAGATTTTGATTCAATTACTTCTTCACTAAAGCCAGGTACAACTTCTGATGATCCTGCTTGCTGATAACCAATGATTTTCGGATCGCTGAAAGATGGTTTTAGGGCAGAATCAATAGGCACAGCTTGAATATCTCCAAAAGCCTCACTTTTATTGACAGCAGGTTCAATATTCATGTCTGTTGACTGGGTCACGTCTTTAGTATTATCGAAAGCGCTTGAAATTTCTGAAATTCCAGCTTGTTGACCTTCACTCACTTTCATATCACCTTCGTAATAGATCAGTTTGTCATCAAAATGAACATTACTAACTGATTTACCTATCTGAATTTGGTCTTTCATAGGTTCGCGTTGACTGGGTAACTCAATATTTGATGCCTCATTTGATGGTAATTCTTCTGTCAATTCTGATGCATTCTCATGGGTACGTTCGGTACCATAAAACAAACACTGAGCACTCAACTCAGGCTGTTGCAAAGTATCGGTGTTGTCTTCAATAAATTGCCCAACATCAGCAGCGACTCCGCTTTCGTCATTCCCAGCATATCCTTGATCTAAGTGCTCTTCACCACGAGGGAGAATAGTCGATTCCTCAATCGTATCAAATGCACTGGGCGTTTCGAATGATCCTGCTTGCTTCTGTTCGGATGACAGAAAAGAAGCTTCGCATGAGATAGAAGACATCTGAAAATTTGGAACTGTTTCCGCCATTTCGACTAGACCCTGGTGCTTCAGCGGTTCCAACTGAGATTTTAGATCAACAGACGATATCAAGTTTGTATTAAATTCTGATGATGATTCATTGATTATTTCATGTTCATTCTCAGCGCCCATATTGACTACTGGTGCATTAGAAAGCGATTCAGTGTTCTTCTGAATTGTTTCTTCGACCATTTCAGAAACCAATGGAGGTTGTTCCTCGGAAGATTCTTCTTGAGGGGATATACCTTCACCAGTCGTGTCTGATTCCACTGTCTTGCCCAGAATTTGTTCATGCTCATGTGTGACTTCCTTTGGGTTTACATCTTTCTGAAGCATTCTATTAGCCGTGTCATCAATTGAAACCTGATCTTGAAACATGCTTTCTTCAACAGTCGGGCTTAAACAAATGTCAGGCTTCTTTGTGTTTTCTTGAGCGGATTCAAGTAAACTGTCAGGCAATTGAACGGATCCCAAGTTGAAGCACAACGGTTTCTGATCATATTCCGATTTAGAAACACCTTTCTCTAGTGATTCTTCGAGTTCAGGCACTTGTTCACACGATCCAACAACATGAGAGTCGGCTTGAACCGACTCAGCGTTCTTCTGAATTGTCTCTTCTATCAATTCAGAATCCACTGGAATTTGTTTATTGGAAGTTTCTTCTTGAGAGGATATATCTTCAACAGTCGTGTCGGATTTCAGTGTCCTTTCTGGAACTTGCTGAGTTTCCGGTCTGTCTTCCCTTGGACTCACATAGTCTTGTGCCATTCTATCAGCTGCGTCATCAATTGAAATTTGATCTTGAAGCTGGCTTTCCTCAACAATTGGACTTAAACAAATGTCAAGCTTCTTTGTGTTTTCTTGGGCGCATTCAAGTAAACTGTCGGGCAACTGGACGAATCCCAAGTCGAAGCACAGCGGTTTCTGTTCATACTCAGATTTAGTTGCACCTTTCACTCTCAGTAAGTCTTCAAATTCAGGCACTTGTTTGCACGATCCAGCAAAGTGAGAGTCGGCTTGAACCGACTCAGTGTTCCTCTGAATTGTTTCTTCTATCAATTCAGAATCCTCTGGAATTTGATTCTTGGAAGATTTTTCTTGAGAGGGAAGAATATTGTCTGCTACCTCTGATTTCAGGGACATGTCCTGAACTTGCTGATATTCCGGCGTAACGTCTATTGGATTCACATCATCTCGTAATATTCTATTAGCTGTTTCATCAATTGAAACCTGATCTTGAAACTTGCTTTCTTCAACAGTCGGGCTTAAACAAATGTCAGGCTTCTTTGTGTTTTCTTGGGCGCATTCAAGCAAACTGTCAGGCAATTGGACGAAACCCAAGTTGAAGCGTAACGATTTCTGATCATATTCCGATTTAGAAACACCTTTCTCTAGTGATTCTTCGAGTTCAGGCACTTGTTCACACGATCCAGCATCATGAGAGTCGGCTTGAACCGACTCAGCGTTCTTCTGAATTGTCTCTTCTATCAATTCAGAATCCACTGGAATTCGTTTATTGGAAGTTTCTTCTTGAGAGGATATATCTTCAACAGTCATGTCGGATTTCAGTGTCCTTTCTGGAACTTGCTGAGATTCCGGTCTGTCTTCCCTTGAACTCACATAGCCTTGTGCCTTTCTATTAACTGTGCCATCAATTGAAACCTGATCTCGAAGCTGGCTTTCCTCAACAATTGGACTTAAACAAATGTCAAGCTTCTTTGTGTTTTCTTGGGCGCATTCAAGTAAACTGTCAGGCAACTGGACAGAACCCAAGTTGAAGCACAACGGTTTCTGATCATATTCAGATTTAGAAGCACCTTTTTCCCTCAATGTTTCTTCGAGTTCAAGTATTTGTTCACTGGATCCAGCATTTTGAGAGTCACTTTGAACCGACTCAGAGTTCTTCTGAATGATTTCTTCAATCATTTCTGAATCAACTGGAATTTGATTCTTGGAAGATTCTTCTTGAGGAGATATACCTTCACCAGACGTGTCTGATTCCACGGTCTTACCCAGAATTTGTTTACATTTGAGTTCTACTTCCTTCGGGTTCACGTCATCTTGTGCTATTCTATTAGCTGTGTTTTCAATCGAAATCTGACCTTGAATCTGGCTTTCCTCAACAATTGGACTTAAACAAATATCAGCCTTCTTTGTGTTTTCTTGAGAGCATTCAAGCAAACTGTCAGGCAACTGGACGGCTCCCAAGTTGAAGCACAACTGTTTCTGATCATATCCAGATTTAGAAGAACCTTTCTCCTGTGTTTCTTCGAGTTTAGGCACTTGTTCATTCGATCCAACAATTTGAGTGTCACCTTGAGTAGATTCAATACTCTTCTGAATTATTTCTGAATTAAGATTTTCTCTATATTCAGAAACTTTTTCGGGCAGCTCGGAATCTCCTTCTAAAGTATCTCCTGACGTTTGTCCAGTTTCTGTTTTCAGATCTTTGGTTGGTTGTGAAGCCATGTTTGAATCTACCAGAGTTTCTTCTACTATTTCGTCATCAACAACTGAACCATCATTTGATGTTTTACAATCTGAATAGTCATCACCAAATACAATTATCTCTTCAGTATCATTAAAACGAACACTTGGTCTCCTGCAACTCTCCGTCCCAACTGAATCTTCTGTTAGTAGCAGCGATTCGATACTTCGTTCAAATCCGCTTGATATTTCTGAAGCTCCAGTTTGTACCTTTTCATCCGAGTAGTCTATATTTTGTAATTCTTTCCCATCGGTAGTGTGATGTAACATACGTGCTTCATTTAGGCCAATATTGTGTTCATATGACAGGGGTTCCATCTTTGGTTGAAGTTCTAGTCTCAACATGCCCTCTTCCACTTCGTGCTTTAGAGTTGATTCTAGATTCTGATCGAAAGAATTCGCCAGTTCCATTCGCATAGGATCATAGAAGAGATCATCGTTCAGGGAAGTATCCTCTTCAGCAGAGAGATAACACGCCTCTGATGTACGACTCGAACTGGAAGAAGACAAATGACGTAATTTTTCTCCAAAGATTGCCTTATCGATTCCGAAAATAAGTGGATTTGATTTAACAAGTGTCGAAATATCCACATAATTGCTTGCGATGATGCGCGGGCACAAATTTGTTGGTGTAAGATCAGCGTGAACAGGTACGTTTGTTTGATAAGAGTTCGTGGCATTGGAGATGGTTAAAGCTTCTTGATAGATAAATGGAATGAATGTAAGGAGGGGAGAGTGTTCTGGAATGATTGAAAGATTCCATCCATTGGAGGAAACGAGTTGAAGAATACTGGTCACATTTACTTGAAGATCCGAGGTGTCTTCCAATACATCATGAGCCGATTCCTGTTCTTCAAGTTCAGAGAGCCGTGCTTTCAACAAATTTATAGTCTAAAAGGAAAAATAGTTATTTAACATCCGGGGAACAGATTTTTCGCATTACTTTTACTTAATTACAATGTAGTAAAAGCGGTTTGCTAGAAATTTCACAATTTAATTGCTCATTTCATAAGAATTAAGTTCTTTGTCTGCAGCTAAATTAGGTACATGGCGTATAAGGAAAGTAAAAGCAATGGTTATCTCACAGAGTAAGGTTATATTCGTACATTATCTTGACCAATTTGAGTACGCAACGCTATCAAATATGAACAAAGAAATCGCATTCACACTCAGAGAGGCTCAAAGGTGCGGCCGTATTACTTGTCGCACAGGCAGCAAGTGCGACGTGATCGCAGGATCGTCTAACCAGCCACCAATCATTGGTCACCTCAGTGTTTGTCAAACCCCTATATGTACTTTAATGACTAAGCTCTGTGTCAGACGCACAATTTAAATAAATGTATTCCACGCCATACGTCTTATTCCTGTTTATCGTTAAGGTACCTTAGTTAACTGTGCAAAACTATTCTAATTAGTGAATATTGCCAGCGAGATAACTGAGCTTACATCAGGGCCTACTCATGCAGACAACCAATGAAATCATGAAAATATCATCTTAACGGGGTAGACATTAATTCGGAAAAAAATAAACTTTGTTTTAATTACCGTTTATTTATCAAAATTTACTTAGATTAAATAGATGTGGGATATTAGGTGGAAAAAATTATTATTTGTAATTTTTCGGTTCAAGTTATTTCATAACACTCGTTTGGGATATGAGAATGATTAAATAGATATGTTGGCAGAATGTTAAACATATCACTAAGAAACTTTCATGAATCATGGAAATTAGAAAAAAATAAAATGAATGATTTTCTACTAAAATATATTTAGTAATATACCTTGTTGGACTTACTATTTATTTGATCAGGATTCTTATATCCGATTGTGGTAGTAAAAGTTAATTATATTCACCAAATGAAATTTTTTACCACTATTTACAAACAGTTGATTAACCTCGGGAATTAAGCACAATTTAGGTAATGGTAAATTGAAATCATATGGAGAGATTCAAGCCGATTTTTATGTTCCTTTCAAAAGTTAATAGAACACACACCATAACCCTTAAAAGCAGTTGTAGAAGTGACTGGTAAAACAATTAGTTTCGGCACGACCTGGGACATTTTTCATTGGATAGTGTTACCAGATTCGATAAGCATTCCAATTTGCAATATTCTCATTGATCGTGGACTCCATGCATTAATTTGAGATTAAAATTATAAATTACGATAATTTATTTCAAGGCAATAAAGCATATTCGAGCATACAAGCAAAATTCTTTTCATTTTAGTAATGTAATCGTCATTCTCTTTGCTATACACATGTATGGAATTTGGTCTCTAAAAATAGATAAATATAGTCTTTCTGAAATGTGATCAATTATATTTTAAATAAGCGGCATATTCATTGGTTTAATTAAATAATAACTGCTGAGAATTTGATTATAATTTTACACTAAAGAGATTGCTAAAGAGGAAGAAAGAAGCACTTTTTATCTTTCGATCTATGGGGTATGCGATAGACTTACCTCCACGTGGTGCACCCTAGGCAACGTATACACATATGGCAAAAGGTCAATTAACCGGCAGTTGACTTCTGGCTTCTAAATGCCATGACCCCACTCTATGTCATATTCCACGACTTCCACAGTACTAATCTCACATTTTCCATACCTTTGTGTCTGTCTGTTTGTCTCTGTTACATCTGTGAATCATTTTTCTGTCCTTCCCTCTCGACTTTTTATGACTTCGATGTTCCTCCTCCTCTCTATGAAGCCCGAAGTCAGCTAAATGGCTAGTGATAACCAGCAAAACGGCTACCATTTGAATTAAATAAAATATATTTCAATCTATGAAACTCCGGTTGTGATAGTTGGCATTTAATTCTCACTTCAAACTACCATCACCCCACTCTATGTCATATACCTCTGACTTCAAACTACCATCACCCCACTGTATGTCATATTTCACCACTTCCACAGTACTCACCTCGCCTTTTTTCTACCTTAACTACTTCCCCAGTAATCACCTCACCTTTTTTTTCTACCTTTGTGTTTGTCGCTTTTACATGGTCGAAACACTCTCCTGTCCCCCCCCCCTCCATCTCTACTTTTTTTCACTTTGATGTTCCTTCCCCTCTGTGAAGCTTGAAGTCAACAATTGTGTCGCTCATATCTTCAAAGTATTGTTGACACTTTTTGAAATTTGCACTCATGGCCCTATATTAAATTACGTATTTATCCAAATAAACAACTTAAAATGTATATGTTTGTCCGCTGACAAGCGGCCAAACCCATGGTCAACTTTCATCCAAACTAATTGTATAGCTTATTCGGTGATACGTCATACATTTGTGATCAATTTTCTTGTATCTTGCGTTTTTAACAAGAATTTCCTACTCTTTACGTATAATCACGTTTACATTTACACATTTTTTGAATCAGTGCTCTTTTTTGTTTTAATGCCATCAATTGTGGATCAATTTTTGGATCAGGAGAAATAAGCATTTTCTATTTTTATGATTTAGGCAATATTGCTGGTTATACAGATCACGCTGTCAGATTTTTCGGAATCATTTAGACGAAATTTGGGCCAGTAACTAAAAGCTTTGATAAATTTTGTCCTTTTAATACTCGATCATAAAACAGAATGTTTATTTGACTTATGGCGTGACATTTAATCTAACAACCTTTAATTAATCGTCAACATCAGACCATTGGCTAATGATTGGGCAAATATAAATTTTAAATATAGTAAGTTGAAGATGCTTAATTAATTAAATCCTACAAGTGTTTCGTTTTATGGCTTAGATAACACTCCTTGGAAAGTAGCCTTAATTTATAGGTCACGAGATTAGACTCCAATGAAAATGATATTTTTACTAAGGTGATACTAAACAAAAGCAATCAATAGATTCGCATTTTCTGAAATGGACTAAAATTTCTGTTTATTTATACTTGCCATCCGAAAAGAACAAATATGGTTGATTTTAATGATTAGAGAGATAAATTTGAGATCACAGGTAATCAAAGACGATATTTATCAATATATTGCATGAGCAGTCTGCAAAAAACTAAAATAATCTTTTTTAAAGGCGCGTGAAACAAATTTAATAACAATTTGGCCTTGATGAGTGTGAAAAAGTTGACTTTATCACAAAAATTGGTGTACGTGAAAGTCATTTCAAAATAGAAGAAGAAAGCAGCTGTTGCGCTGCCATTATGGTATTTTCATAAAAATAAAGCTAGGTAACTCTAATTTTTTTCCCTTAAGAATTAAATTTTGCTATAATACTTAATCTTAAACTGCAACTTCGTTTTTAGTCGATTGTGCATTTTGCAAATAAAACAGACTTTATCTAAGTTAGTGCTCTTCTAAATGTGGCCCCAAAATGTTTGTCTAAAGATCGGTTTAGAACTATTTTCAAACTACCTACACAATTTGCATGCATTTTAGATATGGAAAATAGCTTATCCAGCATCACTAAACCTTCACGCTCAAAAGAATTTGGAATTTAAAATGCAGGAATTTGAAGACAGATTAGTCTTAATGAGCCATCATTTAGCAACAATAAGTAATTTGAAATAATGATGTTTAAAATAATATAACAAGCCGATCTCTAAATAACTGCTTAAAAATTGTTCTCTAATGATAAAATATTTACCCAAAGTGACCCAATTTCAAGTATACAACATTAATTTCATTATCGAAAAGTTCATATTATTTTAATGAGCTAAAGTCCGAGGGGAATTGGCAACTTGGGTGGAAATTACATTGATATGCTAGTAATCAAAGGTTGCTTCGTTAGTGTCAGCTCATTTGCCCATGTGTTAGTCAGGGATCAAGTGTCTGCGTGACCCGCCATGTTGTAAGCATCCCTGCGTGCAGTGGAAAAGTAATAACAAACCCACAAAGAAGGTCCGAGTTTCAAGTTTTAAAGCATTAATTTGTGGTACTCACCAATCGCCATGAATACTTTTGTTTACTTTGATATTTGTACCTGTGTAGGACCAGCATTTATTGAAGGCTTAACCTACAATATCATTGTTCTAAAAGTCACATTTGCGTATTATTGGTTTTTTTACACTTTATATTCAGAAGAATGGTAAAATGAAACAATTTGTACTCAAATCTAGAAGGTAGCTTGGACAGTCAAATTTTTCTATAAAAGTTTCTCAAAACCTTTACGATTCGGAATTGCTATTGTTATGCGTAGAAAAGATGTTAAAGATTTGAAAAGGAATTTAGCAGTTAAAATTGAAGAAAATATCTAACAGAAGACCGTTTTAATCAAATGTCATGCCATCGAATTAAACTCATAAAATTAGTGGTTTGATTCAATTGATATTAGATAGGCTTCTTTTAACTATTAATTTTCTCAATTATTTGTTATATACTATTAAATTTCTTAAGCTTTTTAATATCGAAATTTGGGAGGGGGGGGGGAGGGTAAAATGACATGATAAGAAATGAATTTCCCTAAAAAAGGGTCTCTGAAATGCGAAAAAATGTGAAATATCTTGAAGCACCTCGAAGTTGTCAATCGTGGTTAATACTCGTAAGAGAATGTATTAATATTTGAACAAAGTAATGTCTATAGTTTACTTTTGGAAGTTTATGCCAGTTATTATACTTTCGAAAACAAAGTTTTCCTTTACATTTTAAATGTGACCAAAGACCTTTGAAGCATATTTCCTTGCATAGGAGATCTCGCTAAATCTTTGTACTTTTCCATAACCCCACTCTTTAAAGTAAATGCCATGGCTTAGGGGTCACCAAGGGACTTTCACCAAACTCGCGCTTTGTTAAGAACACCGACTTCACACTTGCCATTTTGTTACAAATCTGTCAAGTAGAACAGTTAGCTAAGAATGCCTTTTTAATATATTAATAGTATTAATTGACTAATTGGCTATTGTTTTTAGGCTATTTCCGTTCCAGTGGATGAAGAAAATTCTTTGCGTTGTTTACATAATAAATCAAACTTTAATTTACGCTGTCATATTAAATTAAGAGTGATGGTTTTTTCGGCCTAACAACAAGAATTTTTACGTTTTTATTCACTTCGGGGTAATGATACTGCCCTTGTATATTAACAATGATCTACTGTCAATCAAAGTGCGAAAATTTTTCCAAATTAAAAATTTGCAGCTTAAAGCCTACGATACTTTTTTTAAAAAATAATTTAGCGAAATTTAAATCTGAGTTTACTTGAAGTGATATGCATTATCATCCCCATCATTAATTTCTAAATATATTCTGACTTTTAACACCGTTTTTTTCCGCTGCGGTCGATTCTGATTGAAGAAGAAAACAAAAATTGGGATTAATCATAGCTGGTTATATTGACATTCATTATTTAATACATACTCAAGTATTCAATGGCTCCTACTTTAGGTATTGAATTTTGTTTGAACCACAATGATTATTGCATATCAATGGCAACTTGCTAAATAATTGATTAAATAAATGATTATTATTATTTTTTCACTGGATTCTAATGTGAAAAAAATTATTTGTAAGCGGACCATCTGATAACTAAGTAATAGAATAAATACATGGTACAATGCGACTAAAATTTTTAAGAAAGCATTCAATTTTACTGTTGAAGATGCTGGATTTAAGAATTAATTGTCATACAATACTGCGATTTAATGAAAAATTAATTTGAGTAAATTTAAACAAAGTGATTTGACTCTGGGTAGAATCTTTGCTGAATGTTGAAAGAGTGCAATGATTGTATTGCCAACTATTAGGGTTGAGAAGTGACTTATCATAAATTTAATTTAAAATATCATATATAATCAAAGAAAAAAACTTAAAAGCCATTCTATTCATTAAACTTTTTACGGGTAAAGATCTACAATGGCTAAAGTTTCCGGCTATTTTAAGCAAGTCAGGCGTTACACATCCATCCATTCATTCCGCAATCGGTACTCCTTCAATTTCTAGCAAAAACTGTTATACCGTGATGAGTGTAAAAATTATCACACATAGCCTTTAGGCCAAAGTTCCTAAGGAGAAGAACAAATATCCTGCAAGTAATTAAAGAAATAAGAGATTTGAGTACATGGTTGATGAGTAATATTTGTGCCAAATTAACCCCAACCAATGCGATGTTCCCT